GTTAAGGGGATAATAAATGTGATTCTACACACTATCTATCTCTCTAACTAGTTAGTTAATATACAGTTAAGAGGATAATATTTGCGAGTCTACACTATCTCTATCAAGCTAGCTAGTTAGCTAATATACTTTTCTGCAAGTAGATATGTTTCTATTTGTACAATAACAGAATGAAACAATAGCGCCGAAGGGTCTTTCAACTCCAGAAGAAAGTTGTCTGTTCTTTCACAAATTTCACTTATTTTACACGTTTGACAAATTTCTTTTACATCCTTTAGTTTTTTAAAAAATCTCAAATGATGTTTTTTTAAAAAATCTTAATCCGATTTTTCCGGATCTTAAGCAGTAAAGTTCTCCTCATCATTATTCGCTGAGGTAATTAAGCTGAAGTGTGGAGTTTTCACGCGTCATAATGAAGGTTTACTGTCTTGAAACTTCAATGAGTAAAAATTTTTGTTGTTAAATCTGTTGTGCTTTCCCGCTGGATTAGTTAAATTTATAACCATAATTTCTTCATTCTCCTGAGTTTCAGCGAAATCACGCTCTACAGAAGAAATAGAAGCATCTCAAACAAAGATCGGTTCCTTTCAAGCTGTTTGCTTTAAAAACAAGAAAAAGGGAATTCAAGATGCATAGTTATTGAAGTTTTACTCTCTCATATATATCTATTGAAAATAAACATTTTAACCTACCAAACCCGATGGCAGCAATATTTTCTTTGCGTTTGCAACAAGCACATGTTTTTTCTTCAGATAATTGTGATCGTTGAGAAGCAGCTTTAGTAAAAACATCTTCGTCTAAGAGCTCTACTTTAGATTTGCTATGGAGAAAAGTTGACAAAAGCAGAGCTGACATTTCCTCTCGCTCTGCTGCATTATCCTCCGGAATGTCAATTTCCTTCGGTATTTTCCCTTCGTCCCTGAACGAAGAACCTGAAAGTTGAAATAAATGTGAGCGTTTTCCCCCAAAATTGTCGTTTTTTATCTTTTAAAGATGATAATTTATGTAGTGTTTCAAACAAATGACATTCTTTTCGCAGTTTAAATCTTTGTTGTCACATAATAGAAGTAGTTCGGGTTTTCTAATACTGGATACTGGAATTTTAGCTCTCCTTTTCAGAAAATAGAAAAATATTTTCACTTCTGTTTCATCGTTAAAAACATGTTTTTATTGTTGTTTTCGGGGAAAACCTTTAAATTGTAAAAGAAAGTATGATATCTTTATATTTGAAGCCAGTAACAGAAGCTAATTTCACTTTATTAGAGACGAAATATATTTTAAAGTAAAGATTACTAAACTTTCTTTTCTTGCAGGTTACAATCTAAAACAAGACAAGCTAAGCTAAACTCGAGCAGAAAGTGTGCCATAAAGACGAAAACACACGGGAAGAAATACTTACATTGTGTGATGAAATACAAGTAAGAAAAAATAGCAACAATACAATGGGTTTTTCGAATCATTTTGGGATTCTTGGGTTACAAAGTCTGTCAACTAAATACACAGTTCCGAGCCTGAAGTAAGCTTATATGAGGTCTTACAGGAGCGAACGGAATCTTATGGTTGGTAGAGAACGCAGTTGGAAATTGAGAAATGGATTTTTTTTTTTTTGCACAATCTCTTTCTCGGATCCCGGGGCTACAAGAAACAGTAATGCTTTCACCTCCACATATATGCAGAAAACGTACAAGCTATAATTTCATGTGAAAAAGACTAAGCATATGACTGCTGTCTAATATGGCCTTTTGGGCGGTACTTGAGAGTGAGCCCAGCCCACAAAGAACTTAATTCTCACAATTTTAACAAATCGTCTCTCAGCTAGATAACCCTCTTAGTCTGATGAACGATGCGAGTCTGTGAATGAAATTCAAGGGTTTTACAAAATACATATACTCTTTTATTGGGTCATTTTTATAACTAAGAGGAGTAAATGCACCGATTTTTGGGGATCTCTGTCTTCTGGTTGAAATTTCATTCTTTGAGGAAAAGTTCTTTGTTCTGTCAGAGCACCTAGATAGGCCCAGTAGCGACCTCTTCCTAATGAATCACTTTAGAAAAAGACTTATACCTCCTGCAATCGATCTTCTTCGGAACCTTACCAGTATAGGGAATTATGCGTTTTCAAACAATAGAGCATTGCAACAGATATATGATGCTTTCCCGTTTTGTAACTGTTTAAAATGTTTAGATTAAGAACAAAATTTCACGTAAATAACTTTCATCTTAACGCCCTTATATATTTCACTAACTAACCACAATGATTCATTATCAAATAAATTGCGTGTACATTCACTGCATCATGATTCCTAAAGTTTTCTGTTCTTCGGAACAAAGTATCTTTTCTCTCCATAGGTTATTAAAGCAAACTTTACTGTGTTTTTACTCTAGTTTTAATCTTTGTTGTATTCTTTTTATCTGATTATCTTCGCTCTCTCGTCTATGATCCATACAACATATATTTGTTATTATATATCCCCCTCCAAAAAAAAAACAACGAGTTTTGTATTTTGTATTTCTTCTCATTTATTTTTCACCGACTAGTTTATTTAGTGCCATAATCTCTAGTGTGTCAGGCTTTCAAAATAGAATTATATATATGTTGGCGCCAAGAGTTTAGCTTTAAAATTTCCCGATGGTAGCTGAAACAAAAGTACTTCTTTCATAAGACTTATAAAAAAGTTAGATTTTTATTTCGTTATCGGGCCGTTCCTGGCGAACTAGCTAGCGTGCTGGACTATCTATCCGAAAGTTCATGGTTCACGGCTTCTTGCTGCAAAATCGCTCTATGCACTTTGGCACTGTAATTGGGTTATAAGAGTAACGGTCAAATCCCACCATTCAATTAGAATAGCCCAGAGTTGACGGTGGGTGCAGTTGACTAGCTACCTTTCCTCTAGTCTATCTGTTCAAAAATTAGGGATGGTTATCGCAAGTAACTCCTGTATCGTTTTGTGCAGTTATCCGAAATAAACGATAAACAAAATCCTTTCGTTGTTGAGTGTGAACATTTTTAAACAATCAGTTACAAGAAAAATAATCAAACATTATCGAACCATTTTCTCACTATCATTCCAATTCCTTAGTAAAATAACGCTTTCTCAGTGCTCCCCAGTGGCACAGCGGCATGTCTGCGGACTTACAACGCTAGAAACCGGGTTTTGATACCCGTGGTGGGCAGAGGATAGATAGCTCTTTGTGTAGCTTTGTGCTTAAGTTCGAACAAATACTTTTTCAGTAAATATATATATATATATATATATGCAAAAATCGACGTGAAAATTAAATATCTTTAACCGCTTTGTTCATTAACTATATTCCAATTATTAACTCTCACTGGTTTTCTATCCAAATGTTTTACATAGTAAGTATAATTGTATAGCAGTTAGCGAGTATGATCCAATAATAGCAGGTTTCATCCGGATTACATTAATTCGCTCTGTTTTATTAAATTCTATTCGTGCCATTACCAAGTAAAATTCTATAAAGTTTCTCTTAGTACTGAAAGCGTTAATATGAATAAGTATTATGGTATCCCGCTAAAAACAAATCTTGCGTTTAAAAAGTTTTTTTTTTTTAACAGCCACTAAGAGATGATGGACTAATATAAGTGCTAGAAAACAAAATATTGAGCACATTCTTTCTAAAGTAACAAGTCTTATGATTAAGCATAAAAAACTAATGTTTTGAAATTTGTGAACTTCCTTCAAACGGTTCGTAAGAATATTTTTCTCTTTTAGATTTGTTTTTTGTTTGTGTTCATAACTATTACAACGAAAACATAAAACTCTAATAAACCGATCGCTTTTTTACTTTATGGGTTTAATGTTTGTTTGTTTTTTAATTTTGCACAAAGCGGACATTTGTGATTTACCATGCCCGCTTGTTTATTAACATTTCTTTGACTGACGTACAATAATAAGGGTTTAATGTATCATTTTGCAGTTTGGTCTTTTTTTGTTTTAGTTTTTCGAACGCCCCCGGTGGTTCAGTGATAAATGTCGCTAAATTTCGGGGTTCGATCTCTCGGTGATGTCAGCACAAACAGCCCATTGTGTAGCTTTATGCTTAACAACAAACAAACAGTTTTACAAACTTTCGTTCAAATCCACAACTGTGCAATCATTAAACCGAGGGCCCGGCATGGCCATGTGGTTAGGGCGCTCGACTCCTAATCTTTAAACCCAGGGCCCGGCATGGCCATGTGGTTAGGGCGCTCGACTCCCAATCTGAGGGTCGCGGGTTCGAATTCCCGTCACACCAAACACGCTCGCCTTTTCAGCCGTAAGGGCGTTATAATGTGACGCTCAATACCACTATTCGTTGGTAAAAGAGTAACCCAAGAGTTGGCGGTGGGTGGTGATAACTAGCTGCCTTCCCTCTAGTCTTACACTGCTAAATTAGGGACAGTTAGCGCAGATGGCCCTCGTGTATAAAATCATAATCTGTACTTCTATATCTCTTATCGTAGTCAGCACAATTTTTGAAGACAAAAGTAGTTTTGTTCTTTTACATTCTAGTTTGGGCGTGGCCTAATGGTTAGCATTCTCAGTCTGTGAATCTTATGGTTCATTGTTGTTCATGTCTTATTCCCGCTAAAATGCGCACCACATATTAGGGCTGTGGATACACTAAAAGAATAGCATTCAAATCCCACTATTCGGTCTGCAAGAATAACCCAACCTGGTGGTGGGTGGTGTTGACTAGTTGTATTCCCTGTAGTCTGTCACTTCGAAATTATGGAAAGACAGCGCAGATAACATTCGTGTAGCTTTGCAAGAAATTCAAACAAACCCTCTAGTCCATCAGTTCAAAATTTGGTTCGGCAATGTGCAGATAGCTATCTATGTAGCTTTTCGCGAAAATTCTGAAACGAACACATTTTTTTATTCGTCTTTAATTTAACCTGTTAGAATAATGACGTATATAACATTGCTGTCTTATGTTTTTCTTGGGTTTGATAATATTTACTCGAAGTCTCAAAAAAAATAGGAATATACACATAATACTTAGACATGTTTCCGTATCTTATACAGAAACACATATACATTCTTTGATACTGCTTAATTACCAATTGAAACTCGTAATGTGAGGGGAAAAAATTTAATGAGGTAAAACTCTGGGACTTTTCCCTTCGCAAATAATTCTTTTTTTACTGCCTCGGGCTTTCTGGTTTGCTTTGTAGCTGGAGTCGGAAATTCACAATGCTAAAAATGATTTATTGACGCTGTAAAATATCCCTCAGTTTTATCTTATTGTAATGACGTTTCATTGTGTAAACTTTGAGTACGGTACATTAAAATATTTTCATGCTAGCGCTAATCGTTTTGTCAATTTATTAGTAGTAAACTCACTCACACAAGCCAGAAATATAAAAATTTGTGCGAAAGGTACAATTGAAAAGTGAACAGAACATAACATTGAACTGCTTTTAAGTTCTTACCATGTGTATAATTTCTTCTGTACGCTAAACACCATATAGCGAATATTAAAATATACTACTTCTGACCAATTCTGAATATTCTTGTTCTCTAGGATATTACTTCTGATGAACTTACTTTTGAATAACCCTTTTCTCTTAGATATCACTCTCTACAGACTCTTCTCCGAGATCTAATTTCCTACAATCTCTACTGTCTAACATTTCCAATAATGTCTCATCCGATGATTCTTCTTCTGCAAACATTACTTAAGACACTCATTGTCAATTGTAGGCTGTTTTAGCTGTCTAGATATGTTTTAGGGCTTAAGCTATGAAAGCTTACATAACTAGTTACTGAAACAAAGCTAGAAGTCGACAAATCTGAGGAAATTCTTCTAAATATTACTTCCAATAATCCCTCTTTTCTAATATATCACTTTCGACGATCCTTCTTTGAAGTACCATGTCCTTTGGATGATCTTTGTTCTCTAATGGATCAGGCCAAATCCATAAGCCTTTATGTTACTGTTCTCCCTGATAAGTGGGGCCTCTTTGTTAGACGTGAAAAGTTTTAAAACAGTTACTTCATTCAGCACCTATTAGAATTTCTTTTACGTGCATTGGTAAAGTACTATTCCCTTACTGTTTAAGGCTCGACGTGGCCAGGTGGTTAGGACGCTCGACTCGCAATCTGAGGGTTTGAATCCAAGTCCAACCAAACATTCTCGCCCTTTCAGCCGTGGTAGCGTTATAATGTGACGGCCAATCCCACTATTCCTTGGTAAAAGAGTAGCCCAAGAGTTGGCGGTGGGTGGTGGTGACTAGCTGCCTTCCCTCTTGTCTTTCACTGCTAAATTAGGGACGGCTAGCGCAGGTAGCCCTCGTGTAGCTTTGCGCGAAATTTAAAACAAACAAACAAACCATTACGGTTTTCTCTCGTTTGAGATCTTTCTTTTACATAATACTGTAGACAGAGAAATAACACTAAAGGACTTCTGACAAACCCTCTTAGCCAATCCTTGTCTAACATGTACCGAGTGGTGGCTTGTAGCTTTGTTTCAATAACTAGTTGTGTAAGCTTTCATAGCTTAAGCTCTATAATATGTCTGGACAGCTGGCTAAGACAGTCTTCAATTGACAATGAGTGTCAAACTAGAAAAATCGACCCAAGACTGGCTTCATACAAGGCCACTGACTTTATTTTCTTTTTTAACATTTAACACACACAAGCGCACGTAGCATAAACACGTAATCTGGTATTACGGATTCCCCATAAGATATGCTTTATCTTTCTTTTGATTCACAATAAAGTTTTTAATATCGAGTTCTATTCTTTATCTTTTTATCTGCGATAAATATTTCAATATTTTGAGTTATATTTCCGTCTTTTGTTTCATACACAATCTCTTAATATCAAAGTGTTAGTTGTTTTTCTTTTTCACAAAATAAATTTCAATTACCATGTCCTATTTTTTGTCTTCAATAAAAATTAATTGCCCCCTTACAGGGTGCTTAATTACAATAAAGATATTAATGTTTTATTTTGATTCCTCTGTCTATTTAATAAAACATCCAATACAAGTCAATCTCACATAGTACATTAACTTAAAACTGGAATTTTAAAGATACATTTAGAACCATGACGAAATTCGTGAAGAAAATATTATTAGACAATACTTTAACTTAATATTTTTTAGAATAAAATGCAGCAGTTACAAAAATGGTTATATTTTTTCTTTTCCAATAAACAGTCGTTAGTGAAACAATTATAAATATTCGTATGAGCATTACAAAATAGTTTTTTAGACTAAAAGTTCAAGACTTGAGGCTCCTAAGCTGGATCCTTTTGGATTTATTTTGAAGTTGTACTACCGAGATTTTAGTCTGAACAAATTAAAACTTCATCTAATAATAGGTTTGGCTTCCTTTCATTGCGATGACATTTTAGACTTGACACTACACAGACTTGTAGTTTGACTGTGATTTATCCATCGACTCTTTTAGCTTGTATTTGGTTTCTTAAATGTCGGAAAAGGATTATGGTGGTAAAGACGACGTTCAACTTCATCTCACAGATTCCCAACTGAGCACAGTGTGTTGTTGCATTATCATCTTGGATGTGATCATAAACAACAACGTTTAGGTACTCTCTGAATGTAATTCGCCTTCTAAAACAACTAAACGATTCAACCGCTGCCATTACACTATCTCCAGTAGTGTGTTCTAGTGGAAAAACACGCGCAGTGTCAAGTGGATCATGTGGTTGTCTTCATATTTTTACAATACTGTTCGTATAGAAAAGGGTGGACTTCGACTCATCGCACTACATAACATGTTTTTAGTTATTATTTGTTCCCTATTTGTCACCTAAGCATCCCTATTTTATATTGTATCTGTTTTTGGACTGGTTCTCGGCTGCCATATATAATGTCCTTCCCATGTAAGGTTAGAGATGATCAGTTGAATCCTTACCATTGTTAAAGAAATCTGGTAATTGTGACAAGTCTGACATAAATATTCCTTACAATCCCGTCTAATAATCTACGCCCTTGGTCATAAATAACCAGTTAGTAGCAGCCATATTCCCTTTCAATTTCTGCTGTTGATAAACTGAAAACGACAGATGTAGTTCGAGTATTTATGAAGTGCACGTTCAGGTCGAAAATTCCAATTCTAAGTCTAGCTTTTCAGTCTGGGACAAAACACATCTTTCTTAGTAGTCCTATTTAAATAAGAAACCAACTGTATGTATACATTCAGACATGCAGGAGGGGGATTGTTTAATATCGGCAACCTACAAAGTTTGTACTATTTTTTTAAATTTGGTATTTGATCTGATGTTATTTTCCCAAGATTGAATTTAATATTAATATCCAGTGTCTCAGTTAATTCTTCTGAAATCATTAGAGCTAAGTTGTCAAATAATTATTATCATGTACCATAAATCTCTCGATTCATTGCTCCTCATTGGCTCAATGGCAAGCTTGAGAGCTTATAAAGCTAAAATTCAGGCTCAACCTAGCTTTAGGAGCAACGCAGATGGCCTATTGTGCAGCTTTGTGCTTAGACAAACAAAGAAACTCGATTCATTGTAGAGGTCTTTGCATTTCCTTTTTTCTGGTCTAATCTCCATATACATACTGATTATCAACTTCAATTATAGCCTTATGAAAGGCATTTATTAAAGAACAGGTTAAGACACAGCAGTGTATACAATTTGTAGTAATCTAATGGTACATAATTGTTTGTACAACCTTATACCATTAACTTTTATGGACTATCTGTGCTCTAGAAATCGTGAATATCGAATCACTATTTTTAGCGTTATAAACCCTCAGGCTTGCTCCTGAGCCACAGGGAGCTATGAATAGTCAATTGTTTTTATGAAGTTAGGATTTAGAAAAATATTTGAACACGTGAATTGACAAGGGTAAGGCCTGAAACGTATTCAGTAGAAATAAATAGTTTTCCTTTTTTTAATTAATCTTTCTGTTTACCGTTATTTGCAAAATATATAATTTAACACATAAATTCAATTACTTTCAGTGGATATAGATGTCAGAGCAAAATTTGGGCTTGATGTTTCCTTACATAAGCCATATTATGCTAAGATTAAATTGTTAAGCACGGGATAATATATTTTGTTGGCGACGTTCGTGTGCATCATTTACCGGTAGAAACAAGGGAGAAAGTGAACTGATTGTCAAACTCCTAAAATGAAAAAATAAAGTAAAACAAGGGACTTAGAATCCCTCTGAAAGTTTCATGGAGATCAGACGTGGGGAAGTTGAAAATTGTTCGTTTCGGACATACAAATAAACATACAGACGCAAGTCGCTGTCTAATCTAGTATAGATGAGGAAAGTCTGATTCAGCAACAGAGATATCGATACTTTGTTTAGTTTTAGAAAATATTAAAATAAACTCAACGACAATCACCACGACATACAGTTTTATCTTAATTAAACAGTTATTCCAACATGTCAATTATCGCGTTATCGTGTTACTCACACGTGGAAATATATAAAAAAAACATTAAATATATAAAATAAATACATATAATGAAAGTACGCAGTCTTGTTTTGTTGTTATGTGCTGTTTTTGCGAAATAATTCTTTTTTGTATTCAGATTTTCCTTTTCATGATATCGGTACAGCAGTGTTTTTGACTACAACTTACTGTGGATATCTAGAGTTATCAATGTCAGCAGTAGCCAGTTAATGTCTAGAGTGGTTAATGTCGCCAGTAGCCGGTCGATGAACAAGCTAATGTCCAAAATAATGAATGAAATTATAGCACTTTTATCATTAATCAGCTATAGCTATAATGTTGACATTTTTCCCCCACCCTTGGTTAGTGTTTAAATAAACTCTTTTTATACTCGAGATATTCTTAATATAAAAACTATTCACTACACATAATTCGTTTGCTCATGCGCTAAGCATATTGAAATATGAGAAAGGAAAGTTATTCGAACATTTACCAAAGCCTGGTAGTCAATATAAACGGTAAATGTTAGAAATAGTTTCGTTTTAACACTATATCAAACACTAACGATAGAGTACGGTTAATGTTCACACTAACAGAACTCCAGAACATTTCCGTAACACAGACTTTAAAATAATAAATTCTGATGGACTTGGGACAAACAATTAGGTTATACAATGGAAACGTGTGTAACGTATACAGGTAGTTGGGAGACTGAAGCTCCTTAGATGGCAGATCTGTCCACTTAGATACGTGGTTTGGGAGCTTGCAGAATAATAAAAACATACAGCAGGGGAAATCCCTATAGCATGGATATATGTGTGTGTAAATGTGGAAGCTATCAAAAGCTGTACAATCGTGCTCATAAATCGTGTAAAATAACTTCTGAGGTAGTAGTTAAATAAATATCATCATTAGACTAAACTATACTAGATGAACACTTTAACAGGTAGGAGCTAACATGTTTTACTAAACGATATAGCAAAAAGTGTAATGTTATCGTTCGTATTGTCCAATTAAACAGCAGTAATACACACTTGTACTTGACTACCTACTACATCAGTAAGAGTAACGCCGCAAGGTGGCGAACTTGTGTGAATCTAATTATTCTTTATTCTTCTATTAAACAACAATATATTTGAATTTTTAAAAAAATCACTTAATAATTAATTATAGCCCACTTTTTTTCATTGTTCAATAAAACAACATTATTAATGAGTTTAACCAACCAATTAATCAATTAGCATACCCTACAAAGTTTCCGCTTAGTTTCATTG